ATCTTCTTTTCTTTTTCTTTTTTTCCTTAAATTGGAAGTTCCTACACCGGAGCAAAGAGGTGTCTGGGCTAACACAGGAAATGCAAAGTAGACTTTTGTAATGGAGAGGCATTGTTTCGGCTGTACTTTTTAAAGTTCAAATCTAGAGCCGAAACATTGCCTCTACATTCCAATGAAGTCTGCTTTGGATTATCTATGTGTGGCCGGGCAACTCTTTACTCGATTGTGTTTGTGGAGGTTTCATCCACCCCAGTGGCACCATAGGGTATGTCCTTCTATAATTGTTGGTGTTTCTTCGATAAAGTTCCTATCATACAGTTCTCTTAGTCTAATTTGATTCCTTTGTTAATGATTATATTAAACCAGTTTTATCTTTTTTTTTCTTCTTTTCTTTTAAACATCATATTGCAAAATATAGAATTAAACATGATATGTTTACTCACGGAATTATTCACTGAACCAGTAATTATACAGAATCGACACAGGAATTGCAAGCTTCAAGCCAAAATAACTGAACTGGATAATGAGCTGGAGATCTCTTTCCTATTCAGATATTTTTTGCCTAAAATGTGCAATCCCCTTGTCAATTTCTTGTAATTTCTGGTTTACTGAATAAATCCACAATCCTTAGTAAGTATATATATATATATATATATATATAAATATATATTTGAATATATCTTCCTTAGAATACAGCTGCCCTTACGATTCTTGAAAGATCCGCATTTTTTACTTTCCTAAACAAGTTGCAGCAATAAAACGCTACCCATCCATTGCTGGGAAATATAAATTCACTGCAATAAGTGGAAGGGCATAAAAAGAGAGAGCATCTCATTTGACTGAGGACTTTAATAAATGTATAATATTCTGTTGAGTGGTACAGGGCTTGCATTTCTCGTCCCCACCCATTCCAGGTTCTTCCAGAGATGCTATCTCATCCCCTGTGCTCCAAACAGTACATTTATCTCAGCAGCCGGGACCATCAGAACTATCAATCACTCCAGTTCCCTATCAAACAGGAAAAAAAAAAAAAGATTGCATGGCAACATTGTTCTCTCCGTAACTCCTTCTGTAAATGATGGATTAAGTAATTTTTGTTCTTCAGGCTGAGAATACGAAGAATTGCTCATGGCCTGTGTTTTCTGGATTTTATTTATTTATTTTTCTCCCTGTTTCAAAAAGAGAGAGAGAGAGAGAGAAAACAAAATAAAACAAATCACAGTTTTAAAATCAAATTCTTTTGCTGGTGGAAAAGTCTATTAGCATGCGAAACAGGAAGAATGGAAATAATCTATCGAAACAGTAGGCTAGATTTACATGTTGCTATATCTCCGAAGCAGCTTTAGGCTGTTCTACATCCAATCATGTAAAAGCATTTATTTGTCTGATAGCCCACCAAAGTCACACAACTCTAAAATCTATCAGCTTGTGCCACAGAGATCGGTATCTACAGGGAAAGCAAAATAGCATGGAGGATGCAAAGCCTGTGGAGTCGACAGTAATAGTTGGTGGTATTTTAGATGGTATTTTAAATCTAAATTCTCTATCTGATCCGGCATCTTAGTCTTATTTTATTTATGATTAATTCAATCTCTCAATAATTAAGAACCAATTAGTATCCATAGTTCTCAATCAATATTTTCAGTGTTTTTTTTGTTTTGTTTTTTTTTAAACATATCTGTAGCGTCATTGACAGTTTTTTTCTACATTTCATTATTTTGAAGGATATTCAGGTGTTTCAGCAGGAACTAGCTGACATTTTCATAACCGAGAAAACTAAGGGTACAACCAAGAGATTTTGGCTTTTTCATGGATCGGAGGTACAAGCTACTGACACATGGCTTTCCAGAAGTGACAACCTACCTGAGTAGAATATGGTTGCACAACTTGACCCCGATTAAATGCTACAGAGGGTTGAAAAAGTAACACTCAACACTGAAATTGCTGCCAGTTGAACATACTCCACATATGAGTTAAAAACTATGGTAAAAAAAGCCTGAAATGAATGGGGGGGAAAAAACAGATTTAAAAAGCTGAATATGTAAGGGCAAAATACATACCTCTCAAGTGTCTCCATGTAGGAGATACAGTCCCTATTAGGGGCACAAATCCCTCTGTCCCTCTTTTCTATCCTAATGTCCTTTTCTACAAAGTCCATGTTGGTGGAGTATAAACAGAGCTCCACATCAAAAATACTCACAGTAATGCATCTTTAAACTACACAAGGTGCCAATAAGATGCATCGTTCATTTTTTAAATTGCATTTTAGTTGCATAAATAGTTTTTAGAAAAATCACCTTAAATTTCTCAGAACGTCCCTTGAGCAGTGGTCCCAAAATTCCTATTCACGTAATGCATGAAAAAATACCCTCTGTATCTCAACTACCTTCTGTAGGACTCTGAAAAGAAATATATTATAACCTACAATACATTTTGTTTGCTTGCCGGAAAGAGAGGGGGCGACCAATAATTGTTTCAATTTGTTTTTTCTTTGATGTTGGTTAGAACCAGTTTTGGCAGAGGACCAAATTAATATATGACAAATCTGACTGTGCGTTTGTGCTATAATTGACCACTCACACTCCTAAGGGTAGAAAAATGATAGCAAAAATGGATAATGACAAAACAGTTACCACTGGCTTTGGGGCAAAATATTAATCCAAATGTCCCCAGACGATTATGGGTCTTTGAAGAGTTGAAGATTGAAACTGGATTTATTAATAGAAAGAGTAAGATCATGCCTACAAACACCCGTGTGTCAGGGACACCTTCCAGGAAATACTAATGTGTATCTGTCCTCTTTGTTTTAAAAATATAATCATCCTTTGCATTCACATTGTGCACTCTGTAGTCACACAAAGTATTTATACTCTTAACACTACATTCAGAAACTGTATTCTGCATTTCTACTTTTCATTCACACCTTACATTATGCATTTACACACTTAATCTTTACCATCCACCCTGCATTCACATATATCATTTGCATACAGCACTGTGCATTCACAGCCCACTCTCTATGGAATCTCTGCAATGACACAAAGCATTTGCACCAAATAATCTACATTCACATCATACACTCTGCATTCACACAGTGAAACCTACATTCACAACCTGGGGTCTGAATTCTTTTACTTCATTCACACCCTGCACTCTGCATTTACAAATCACATTCTCAACCTTCACTCTACATTTATTCACAAACAGCACTCTACATTCACACCCAACATTATGTTTACTCTCTGAATCGACACAGAGCATTCACATCGTATAATCTACATTCACACCCTACAATCTGTATTCACACCCTGCTCTCTGTATTCAAACCATGCACCCTGAAATCTTCCATCTACATCTTTTATACCCGTAGCATTCTTACTTTGTACATATCATTCATGAACTGTTTACAAAATGTTCACATATTACCAGAGAATTCATACTCTAACACAACATTTATTCACATAATTAAAACAAAAATAATCATTCAAAATAGCATTTATATATTGCTACAGAAATATGCAAATGATTTCATGGACACAGTTAATGCATTCTAAAACTACACATAAAAAATACTGGCCAGCATTGACACAATAATGATTTTTCATGTTGATAGTTAATGTCAACACATTTTCGGGCAGTTTGAGACGATGAGCAAACATTATCCAATGTAGCCATAGTCACAATTAGCAACAAATAGTTATTAGTGAATAAATCTGAAAGTTTGTATGTAACAGCAAAAATATCAGCTTCCGGGCTCAATAAAGGACATTACTGGTGGTATGATTACTCACATGGAAAGGGGGGGCAAGGGTGACAGGGTACTACTGCCACCATAACAACTACAGTATGCTGTACTGGTTACTATGCTCAGACTCACAGAGTTCCCAAACCAGTCCTCATGGCCCAAACAATTCAGGATTTATATATTTCTCTGTTTTATTCAAATAGAGATACGGACAAAACCTGGACTGTTGGTGGGTCTCGAGGATTGGTTTGGGAAACACTAGCTTAGACTGTTCCTTTAAGTCTTTCTCAGGTAAGCTTGTGACCTGCAATGAGAGGTGTTTTCAGATCTCTCTGACCTTTTTGAATTCTAGCCAAAAATGAAAGAAATTTAACCACAAGAATAGTTCCTTTTCTTTTTAAGCCAACATGTACTCATGACCTTCAGAAATATTACCCTTTACTTCTTTTATTTTCTGGTTTCCTCCTTTCTCTGCAGCTTCAAATGCTTGGGTTGTGATTTCCCTCCACGCCTCTTATACCTGAGTGACCCTGCATGGCTCATTCATCTACTATACATCCATGTCAGGCTTTAAGCCCTCAGTCAATAAACGCCTTCTTCCCCCCCACCCCTTGCTGCTCGCTGCTTGATAAACATACACTGCTCAACATTCTATTCTCAAAAAAAGAAAACAAAATGCAACAAAAATATTAGCTGCCATTGAAATTATCTTTCGTCTAGATATTTTTAGAGACATTGCAATTCATGTTTAGATCAGTATTTAAAAACTCTGAAATCAGGGAGAACTTTTTTTTTATTAGGTTTTAATTTTAAAGTACAAGAATGAATCTGAAAAAGATATAAAAAAATCTCTTGCCTTTTAACCCATAGTCTGTGTTCCATTCTATCTACGTATATACTCGAGTATAAGACGACACGAATATAAGTCGACGCCCCTAATTTTACCCCCCAAAAAATGGGAAAACTTATTGACTCGAGTATAAGACTAGGGTGGGAAATGCAGCAGCTACTGGTAAATTTCTAAATAAAATTAGATCCCAATAAAATTACATTAATTGAATATTTATTTACAGTGTGTGTGTGTGTGTGTGTGTGTTTGTGTGTAGTGTGTGTATATAATGAATGCAGTGTGTTTGTGTGTAGTGTGTGTATATAATGAATGCAAAATATGTGTGTTTGTGTGAATGCAGTGTGTTTCTATGAACGCAGTTTGTGTATATAATGCAGAGTGTGTGTTTGTATGAGTGTGTGTGTATATAATGCAGTGTGTGTATATAATGCAAAGTGTGTGCATTATATACACACACACTCTGCATTATATACACACACTGCATTCATACATACACACACTCTGCATTTTATACACACACTCTGCATTATATATACACACACACACACACTCATCCAAACACACACTCTGCATTATATACACACTGCATTCATACAAACACACTCTGCATTATATACACACACTCTGCATTATATACACACGCTCTGCATTATATACACACACACACACACACACTCATCCAAACACACACTCTGCATTATATACACACACACTCTGTGTGTATAAGATGCAGAGTGTGTGTGTGTTTATGTAGTGTGTGTAAACTGGGTGGGGAGGAGGGCATTTTTATTATTTTAATATATATTTTTTAATATTATTTTAATATTTATTATTATTTTAATATTATTTTATTATTTTTTTGTTTCATTTTTTTTGTCCCTCCCCTCCCTGCTTGTTGCCTGGCCAGGGAGGGGGCTATGTGAATCCCTAATGGTCCAGTGGCATTGGCTGTTCAGTGGGGGGGGCTGGCAGCGAGCTGTTACTTACCTTTACAGCAGCTCCTGTCAGCTCCCTTCACCTCCGTGCAGCTCTTCTGTTCAGCTCACAGTGTAAGTCTTGCGGTCTGCGTGCCGCTCGGAGCATTGCCATGGTAACCCGTGGCAACACTCTGACGGCCGCGGGTGTCACGAGACTTACACTGTGAGCAGAATGGAGCTGACAGGGGAGCTGCATGGAGGTGAAGGGAGGTGAAGACAGGAGCTGCTGTAAAGGTAAGTAACAGCTTGCTGCCAGCCCCCAACAGGACTGCCGGGTTGTAATGAGCCCGGCGGTCCTGGTCTGTATTATGGCAATGTAAGTTGCCATAATACAGACACTGACTCGAGTATAAGACGAGTGGTGCTTTTTCAGCACAAAAAATGTGCCGAAAAACTCGTCTTATACTCGAGTATATACGGTATATTTTTGGTGGTTTTATTTTGTAAGCATCAGAAACTTTTCAATAGTCAAGTTCCAAGTGAAAAACAAAATACATTAAGTAATTGTATCATTTTCATTATTTTCAAAATTTAGTTTATTAAGTAAAAATAGAAAAAAAAGTGTGGGGAACAGAACCTCGCCACGGGCTTTTGGAGGGGCTTTTGGTTCCCCTGGTTCGGCACTTTCCATAGAACCGAACACTAGCTCACTGGGGGCTGTTCGCATGGACCAAAACTGTGAATAGATTTCAGCGGGACTCAGTCGCGAATGCCCTGGAACTATTTTCGGCATGAAAACTTTGCGGTTCCCGGTCGGTCCCCCAGCGGCACTTAGCCGCGATTCTATGGAACTGTTTTTGGCAGGAAGACTTTGCGATTCCCGGTCGGTGGAAGACTTCCCGTCTCGTGATTGTAGGGAACAGCTATACCTGCTTTGGATTGCTATCCTGGCTATAATCACTAGCTTTTGTAGCTGTGTAGCTATACCTGCTAGACTCTCTGGAGTAAGGTGGAGGACAGTGAGACCCCAGCCAAGCTACTGCAGCTAAGGGGCTACGGTGCTTATGGTGTGCGGTGTGGTGCTTACTAGGAAGCAGCGAATGGCGGAGGCACCCAGTTGGGTGCCAGGCGGTCCGTCACAACAAGATACTGTTGAACTGTCTTGATTCTGGTGGAAAACTCCTGATAAGCATCTATGCTGCATGTACCAAGTTTAGTTGTACTAAACACCTTAGAATAAATGACAATGGATTTCCACGATATAAAGCCCTGATGCGTTTTGATCATTATAGGAACACTATAGGGTGAGGAACACAAACATGTACTCCTGACCCTGAAGTGTTAAAACCACAATCTAGCCCCCTGCCCACACATGTTGCCTCCTTGCCTCCCTAAATATAGTAAAATATTGCTTTTATTTAAGTCTGCAGCTGCTGCCTCTGCTGCCTTTGCCCTATATCCGCCTGCTGTCTGCTGACATGATCAGAAGTGGTGGTATGAGTAAATCACAATGCTTCCCCATTGGATTGGCTGAGACTTCAAGTAGGCAGATCAGGGGCAGAGCCAGCACAAGTCAAACACAGTGCTGACCTACCAGCATCTCCTCATAGAGATGAATTGAATCAATGCATCTCTACGAGGAAAGTTTAGTGTTTCCATGGAGAGGGTGGAACACTGACTGTGTTTACTGCAAAAACCTTGAAGGGAATAATTCTACTCACCAGAACAAATTCAATAAGCTGTAGTTGTATAGTGTCGCTTTAAATTCATACTGAGTATCCTGTAGATAGAGGCCCGCACACAATAAAACCTTTTTGAGTCTGTTGATTAGAATCCTGCAGAAGAAATTCCTACTGAATTTCAAAAAATTAAAACACGTCATTTTGCACAGAACGTGAAGTACAATCTAGTTCTTCAGTATCGGTTTCACAAAATAAAACTCTTTGTTCTTTAGAATAAAGCCCTGCTGAATTCCAGATAATAAAGTTTTAGGGTGTTATTCAGAATCAAGCCTTGCCGAGTCTCAAAAGATAAGGTCATACAGGGTCATTCACTAAGTGAGAATTCAAAGTGAACTTAAGGTGAATTTAAAATTTAAGATAAAAATAGCCAAACTGGAAAATTTCTCCAATTCAGTTCGGCTTCTCTGGCCAAGAATTTGAAATTCACTCTGAATTTACTTTGAATTCTCATTTTACTATATGAACCTGCTTGTATACTGAATAAAGTCCCAAAAATAAAGACCGTCAGTGTCCCACACAATAATGCCCTGGCCTTGTTGACTACCATGAAAAAATCTTACTATTTCTATACTGACTTCACTGTAGTCCTGGTTTTAGATAGCTTTTATTTCTTACTGGGTTATGGTAATAGTTCCACCTGACTCATGCACCCATAACAACTTCCTCTCAATTAAGTTATTATGGGGGTAGAAGTAACTGGGTACCGTCTTTTTTTCCAATGGTATAACCAAGTTGCCCATCCTCTCTGCTTTCTGTTTTATCATCCAGGTACCATACACTCCAGGAAGGTTTGACTTGTTGGGCAGTAATAGGCTGTGGGCATCTGCTGACACCCTCTTATCACTGGCCACCAAGTGCACCTTTCTGGAGCACAGAATGTCCAGAAGAAGGTCAGATAAGGCAGAGCTGTTGGATGCCAAGAGACTAACTTGTACTTCAATTTCCATTGAAGAGCAATCTAGTAGCTGGCATTGAGCTGTATTTGGTGTTAACCAATTCAGCCCATATCTATTGCATCTTGGCCAGTCTGCACTTTCTCAAAAAAATTGTAAAATGTGCTCATGGGTTGTCCTGCTGCCCCTGTATTTATGCTATAGAAAATGGCTTTCCTGGTGGAATCTAAATATATCAATATTTCACTTATTGAGCCAATAATATTTCTCTGGCATGCTCCCTTCGTTAGAATATAGTGATATAATTTTTGTTGTGGTGCTCATTAACCAGAGGAAAAAATAGGATGATAAACCGCACCAAAAAAAAGTGTTCATCATGAAGTTTCTTGCAAGTAATTATGAGATATCAAACACCTATCATTTCCTGTGCCTCATTGCTGCATGATAAGCTACAGTCAGTCAGACATTTAAATTGAATATATTAATTTACATTAGTCATTCAAAGTTATAATAATAGCCTCTGCGCTAAATCCAACAAAGATTGAAATGTCTTATTTGCAAATTATTCAAATGTGCAGAGTTTGTCATCCAATGATAAATGCTAGCTACTTTTAAAGATAATCTACTTTTACTATTCTTTCAAAATTGTAAATTGTTTCAATGTGGATTGGTGGAAAACTAACAATAAAAATATACACCCAGAGTTATCCACTAGAGTTCTAACGGCTCCATACCAAACAGGGCAAGCCATCGCGCTGAGTACGGGGCCATTCAGACTGCAAAATTCTAGCTTTTGGTAAAAATTACTGGATTTTAATTGCAATGGCAATTCTCAGATTTACTAAAGCCAAATACAGTTCTCGGACGGGCCAAGTAAATCTGCAGAAAATATCCGGATGTCTCTGGATAAAAATAAGTGCTTTCGCATCTGAACCTTTTACAAAGTATAGAATTCAGAAAATTCATAAAAAACGATGGTAACTAAATTCTAAACCAAATGCATCCGGTAGGATGTACTTTCACAAAAAATATTGTTAAATTGTGAATTGATGACATGAATAATTTTTATCCCTCTGGCATCACTGGTTATATCAGGGGTGTACAAGGACTTCAAGGCATTATTAAAACTAGCTGGACTTTTTGAGAACTTGTCTTTTCCACGGTAAATTTTGTTGGCAAAAAATTTTCGGCAAAGTTTTCTGTGACGAAAAGGAGACTATAACTAAATAAAAACAAAATGATCATAATGAAAGTCAAAACAAATTAATGACATTTTCATCAACGAATAAAAACTTGACAGACATTTTAGGGAGGCATGAATGTGATATTCAAGTTATATGTATATAAATGCATATGTACTTTTTTTTTTTTTAGTGACTTGGCTTTATTTAATTTCAAGATAAATAATAGAGACGTTATATCACAACATTTAAATCTGTGTCTGTGTTCCATGTTCAAACCTTAATACTTTAACTAAGATGTTAGTAGATATTTACTCCCTCAGGAGTATATAATGAGTTTGGAAATTCAAGAGAAATGCTTAAATATTTCATTACATTTTAACTAAACCCATTAGATTTTAGTCGACTAAAACTAGACTAAAACAGTTCAGATGACTAAAATATGACTGAAACAAAATGGCATTTTTGTCAAAAGTCTGACTGAAACTATATAAAAATGTACTGTCAAAATTAACACTGGTCATTTCAGGTGTCATGGAAACCAAGGTGGCTTTCCATCTTGGAGGTAACTTGTAAGGGTTCTTTTATGTCTTCAGTAGTCCTCTCCCATTCCTGCTGTATCCTAAGATTGCTGGACAGAAGACTACTTTTCCTACAGAGAGTTACACTGAGGGAGAAAATTATGTGATATCCTGCTGATTTTGAATGTTGTCCACTGACAAATAAATGATCAGTCTGTAATTTTAATGGTAGGTG